AGATATTGACGTAAAAGTATTCTGTATAACGCGTGATTTTCCGCGCGGACTTAAGAGGGGAACATTTTTTTTGTCATTTTTTCATTAATTTTATAATTTGTACCGACGACGCAGTGTCTTTGAACTTGTCAACAAAGGCGCTGATCTCATTGCGAAAATTGATATTCACAAGGCATTGTGAACTTACGGAGGGAACTTAACTCCTGGTAATCTGAAGATTAATTATGATGGTTAATTCGAATAAAATTCGCAATTAATTAGATAATTGATCCAGCGAGCGTTGCTCCGCCCGACAGCGCTCGAATTGATCGCGGGTTAAATGTGATATTTCCGTAAGCGTCAACGGGGAGACCGGAACTAGTATATATTATATATATACACATATGTGCTTTATTTGTATATATATATTGTATATATAATTAAGACGTCGTTGTGTGAGAAAGAACACACGGACGGAATAATAAGAACGGAATAATAAGAGGAGAATATCGCGGAAGAGTCTCGATCCTTTCCCAAGGATCTATCCGACCGATTGTTTTTTCCGTTCGTCGGAGTTCGGATTCGGAAATCCCGCACCCTGGATTAAACCCTGGGCGGGCCCGGTGCTCGTCGACGACACCCTATCGAGATTAATCGTCGACGGGCGTTGACGCCGCAAAACCGCATATCGTGTAACATTAAACGACGAGGACGAAAGAGAAAGAGAGAGTCTCTATCTAGGACATTTTTTAACCTCTTAAGGGGTTCACGGGGCCCGGGTCGAAAACGATCCCAGAAAAATATTTAATTTAAATATTTTCCCTCGTTACATCTTCGGAGATCTTAGTTCACCTATCAATCGCGGAAACAGATTTTCCGTTACGTATAGCAATTCGTAGAGAGAAAGAGGGAGAGAGAAAGAGAGAGAGATTAAAATTGAAATTGAGGAGAGAAAGAGAGCGAATGAGTGAGTGAGTGAGAGAGAGAGAGAGAGAGAGAGAGAAGAGAGAGAGAGAGAGAGAGAGAGAGAGAGAGAGAGAGAGAGAGAGAGAGTAG